GCATCCCACGAGTGTTCATCTATTTTAGGGCCTCCCGATAACATGTCCGGGCTGTCGTTGGATCAGTTCTGGCCACCCCTACCCCAGTGTCTGTAGGGAATTTGATGCATGAGTGGCGGACAGAGGCTATTGCCTCCAGATCTTCCAATCCTGGTCGGCCCAATATGGCATTGTGGGCACACTTTATATCTACCACCACGAACGTCATTCGGAGTGACGCTTTGTGGGTTTCATCCCCAATTTCAACCATTACTTGGATGGTCCCCTCCGCCTCGATGCAGTTACCGGTGAAACTTGCCAGTGGGGTCCGTAGGTGGGTCAGTTGGCTCCTTTGTAGACCCAGTTTCTCGAATGATTGTAGATACAATACATTCACACTGCTCCCGGTATCGACCAGTACTCGGCGGATCAAAGCATTGTCAATACACATGCTTACCACCAGTTCATCCCTGTGTGGGCTTGGAGAGTTGGGTAAATCAGCTGGCCCGAACGTGATCGGGTCTGTCCTTCCTTTCTTCTGGGGGGAGTGGAGACGGATCCCACATAAAGACTCCGCTCTAACCTTTTCCGTTCGGCGTTCAAATCTCCGGTCTCCCCGCCCCCAAATATAACCTTGACCTCCATTCGGGGCTTCTTTCCAGGGCCTCCCGAGCCCTCTGGCTCATCCGTGGGGGGAACATACACATCATTTTGGGGCTGGGCGTCACGTTGAGCATCCCGGCGCCAGCTATTAGGTTTCCTGGCCGGTTTCAGCGTGCCCATAGCATTCGGATCTTTATTCACATATTTGCCCATATGGCCCCTTCGGATCAGATCCTCAATGGCTGTTTGTAGGGCCCTGCAGGCATTGGTGGCATGACCCTTTCTGTTGTGATATTTACAGAAAGCATTGTCATCCATTCCCATGAACTGTCCAGAATCAGTCGGGATGGGAATATTGTCCCTCTCGTGCTCATAGATGGTCGCTATTGATAGGACCAGGGGTGTAAATCTCCCTTGTTTGGGAGGTAAAGCGGCCGCTGGGCTAGGACCCAGCCGATCGGCCATTCTGATCGGGGCGGCAGGCGTAATGACCTTATCCCTGATCATTATCTCCTCTTCCAGGGCGGCATGCTTGCGAGCCCTATCTAATACCTCGGCGTACACCGTACCCGGATTTTTCTTCAACTCTTTGTACAACTCCCCCGTTCGGAGAGCATTTGTGAATAGGGTAATGGCGGTATCATCTGTCATGTTTCCCACTGTTAAAGTTTCATCCCTCCACCTTTTCAGGAATTGGTTGAGGGTCTCTTTGGCGTTTTGCTTCACGCTGGTCAAATAGCTGAAGTGCCATTTGGGATTGGCACTGGAAGCAAACTGAGTCAGGAATAACGCTGATAACTCGGCAAAGCTATTGATTGACCCGGGCTGCAGTGTCCCGAACCACTCCTGGGCAGGCCCCCTGAGCGTGCTGAAAAACAACCGGCAAATGGCGGCCTCGGGTGCTCCTAGCAGCATAAGTCCCCCTTGGTAACTCCTCAGATGTACGTGGGGATCTCCAACCCCGTCATAAATTTGGCCGGTCGGGGGCTTAGCACCCCCTTGGATATCTGCGTACATGAGCTCCCTAGTAAACGGGGAAGTAATTCCCAGCTGAACTGGGGTAGGTTGTACAGGTACCCTGTTCATCTGGTCCCGCATTTCATTCATTTGCCTCCTCATCTCGGCCATTTCTTCCTCCTGGGCCGTCAAAGGGGGTGGTGGTGGAGCTCTCATATCCGTACAGTCCCGGTCCCAATGCCGCTGAGGGGCCTTAGTATTTTCCCGCTCGGCATACTGGAAATGATGGCCAACGGGAGTTGGTCCTCTAGCTTGTGATCCGCCTGGGGTTCGGTCACTGGGATTGTGGTGCGCGGTTGGTGGGGCGCTACGTCGATTATCCCGATGGACATGTGAACGGGATGACGCCGCGGTTGTTTCCGTGCGTGGGGTCTCCCCTGTAAAGCTGGAACTTCCTTCCTCTTCATTCGCCATATGCTGCATGACCTGGGCCATGTCCCGCATGGCCTGAGGATTTCTTCTCAGAGATTCAGGAATCACAAAATCCCCATCGAAACGAGGATTCGGTCCCCGACTGGATTGTCCCTGAGGGTTTTGACTCCCCGGGGTGTGACTCCTCCCGTGACGGCGTGAACCGTCGTTTGTATGATAGGAACTGATTCTGACCATTTTTTGAAAAATAGAGGTTTTTTGGATGATTAGAAAGTGGAACTTTTTGCAAGTTTCCCACAGACGACGCCAATGTTGAGGGTAAGTCCCGTAGATCCGAAAGCCCAACATGAACTTTGGATATATCAGGAATGGCCCAGAATCAATGTGTGTAAAGAAATATAAGATCTGAACTAACTAACACTCGAAAGCTCACTTGTATTAATTAATCAATCTGATTACAAGGAATTTCTCGATCGGTAGGTCGGAAACTATGCTTTAATACAAGAAATAAGAGCAATGTTGCTATTCTAGAGCCTGGGTATTGAAATGCTAACCCTTACAATGACTTGAAAACCTTCTATTTATACTAATGGAGAGCATGGGCTGCCTTATGCTGATTGGCCGTTGTTCCACCGACTTGGTCATCCATGCTTCCACTTGCTGATGTCACAGTCTGGCATTAATTGCACCTGGCCACTTGCTGGTTGGCCGTTGCTCGAACGGTATGTTGGGCTGTACTGAAGATGCTGTCAAATTGGCCCAAGTATGATATGTAGCCCGAACTCCGTTCGGTATGTCTTCTTACTGGGCCAACCTTTATTTGGGCCGAACTCCGTTCGGTATGTCTTCTTACTGGATCTATTCATCATAGAGTGATGAGCCCGTTGTTTGGGCCGGATATCTTGGGCCTTCTCGATCTGGGTATTGGGCCTCTGGTCAATATCCCAACAATGTTGTTGAATAATTAATTATATAAACTAATTTAAAGATTAATAGTCCTTTTGGTAGATTTAGGTAAGGTTTGGAAAAAATGGCCCATTTCATTAGTGATAGTAAAAAAATAGATATTACTTTAGTTGTTAATTCATGTTTTTATATATTTACATAAAATATGATGAATTTTTAATGTTAGGTTAACGTGAAGAGTGTCTAAAAACAATTATTTCTTTTGTTAAGTATATGTTCAACACGTGAATGTGTATGTATGATAGTTTGTTGATTTTTTAAAATATAGAGATTGTGGGCCCTAGTTTGAGTAATTTAATGATAAATATAAATGAAAATTTTAATTTTGTTATTGGTTAAGAAATATAAACAAAAAAGGTTGATGTTTCATTTACTGTTTAAAAACAATAATTACATTTTAAATAGTTCTTATAAATATTTAGTGATATTCCGTAAAAAAAGTATTTAGTGATATGAATCAATAATATTGTGTAATACTATATCTTGTATAGGTTTTACAATGAGTCAGGATAGATCATGGATGTATAAAAGGCTTGCAAGACGAGGAGTTCTAAATGAAGAATTTAAGGAAGGAGTTACCGAATTTATCCAAACTGCGGTAAACTTATATCAAAGTGGTGTTATTGCATGTCCTTGTAGAAAGTGCAAGAACAAAAAGTGGATGACATGGGATATTGTTAGGCAGCATTTATTTGAAAAAGGTTTTGTGGAAGATTATTATGTATGGGAGGCACATGGGGAGCCACATAAATCAAATGGATTAATTTATTTGGATGAAAGTAGCTCTTCTCATGGCAATACATCTGAAGGGCAATATGATCCGTACAAATCAATGTTTGAAGATGCAATAAGGAATGAACTCCCAACGGGATTTGATCACGGTGAGGGTGTAGATGAACCTTGTCCTATCACAACACAAATGTACGAAATGTTGGATACAATGAGTCAACCGTGTTTCGATGGCTGTCCGATGACGCAGTTGAGTGCAATGACAGAAATGCTGAATATAAAGACTGAGATGCATTTATCAGAGGCTGCGACGGATAGAATTTCTCAATTCGTAAATAGGTTTTTCCCATCAAGCATCCCAAACAAACCAATTCCAAATTTCAACAAAATCAAAAGAAAACTATCTATGTTAGGAATGAGCCATCAATCCATCGACTGTTGCCCGAACAGGTGCATGATATATTGGAGAGCAGATAGTGAGTTACTGGAGTGTAAATTTTGCTAAAAAATTACTTAGTTTTTCCTAAAAAACCAGTTTTTCTTAAATGTTTCTCTATTTCTCTTGTAAAAGAATGCACTTTTTTCTGCGAGAATATGAGAGCTGATGTGTATTGTTTTTACTATTCTAACCCTTGAATCCATGAATTTATTAATTTTTGTTATCTATTTTACTTGATGATTTACTTGATTCTTGGTGCTTTAAAGGGTGCTACTACTAAAGAAAAAGAAGTTCTAACATGATTCCGACAAAAGGATTTGGGGCTGCCATGCTAAATAGGACATGAGCTAACAAAACCCAAGAAAAAACCAGCAGCACAAGCATCTCAAGACAACCAGCAAGTAACGGTCACTCAAGGTCATCTACGCCGTTTGCAGTGAACATAAAAAGTACATCCTGGCCAGTGGGGCAAAATAGGCAAATTCTCCAACCGCCTCCGTCCCAATATAGCCAGTCTGATGGTCTGAGACATACGAAGTCAGCCACAAATAACCAACAACGTGTGATTGGGACACACAAAAACCTCGAACCATTATCCAATGAGAGTAACTCATCAACACCTGAAACTGGTGAGGATCCACTAGAAGACAATGCTGCCACACACATTTCAAATGAAGATACCAAAGAGGATCCCAAAGAATGGAAGCCGGAAGTATACGCTCATCTTAATTAGGGGAAATCACCTCTAGACCCTTTCAGACCTGTATCAGTTGCACAATTTGAAAAGCCCAATGTTGGTGTAAATGCCACCGGGAAGTGAGTTTCAGTTTTCACCATCACTGTTTTTATACTTTTTTAACTTCAATTTAACTAACTCACTTAATTAAAATGCAGCCTAACAAACATAGTTATCAACCCAAGAAGTTTGAAATTCCAGAGAATTGTGGGTAAACAGATCAGATATAATTTGCACCCGGCAGGCCAACATTGGAAATGGGTTCCGAAGAGGACAAAGAAGCTTTATTGGGATCAGTTTCAGGTTATTTTAATTATGTAGTAAATAATTTTTAATTATTCAGTTTCTTAAATCAATTATTTGTTATTGCACAGAGGTTAGTTACTTGGGATATTGAGCAGTTTAGTGATGAGAAAATAAAAGAAGGTTATATAAATTATTTGAAAGAACATGCCTACTCCAACATTTTGACTCGAATAAGGTAGAACGATAAATGTTTCATTTTTTTCTGAATATTCAATTTTTCTTTCAAGAAACATGGTTTACATAATTTGTTTGTCTAACTAATTCGAACTTTCAAGGAAAAAACGGCATGTAACTGTGAACGATTTCACTTGGTCAGTTGTGAAAGAATATATGAGGTCTGAACAATTCATAAGGGCATCTAAGTCCGGTAAAAAAAAACGCATGACTGGTGGGGATAGGTGCAAGCAGTATGGGGGATCCCGAGCTGCTGTTGATGTAGCTACACAGGAGGTTAGATTTTAAAAGGTGTTAGCATGTTGGTCTTATTTTTAGTTATACCTTGTTACTCCATGTAGTAGTAACAAATTATTCAGTATAACAATGCTGCAGATATGAGTTTTACTAAAATAAAAGGTTAAATTTGTAATGGGATATTGGTTTGGTAGTGAATGCATGTGTTACAAAATAATACAATAGATAACTTAAATAAAGTTTGATTAGTAAAAAGACTAAAAATGCAGGTGTCGCACCTGCTTCTGTTGCCATGGATAACAAAACTTGAAGATTTTTCATATCTTACTAATCTCAGTTAGATCTTGCATGACATCTCTCAATAAGAATTGACATTATGATATTGTGAATGCGTCTACTATCAACTTGATGAGAACTATTTATAGATGAAAATTTTCTCAAGCGTACTGAATACGTTTTGATACTTTGTTTTAGTTGAGCGCCACAGGCAAAGAAATAAACCCCGTGAAGATGTATGGTACATATCACCCAGACAAAAGGAAGAATGGAGAGCTTATTACTTGTGCTTCACACGTTGTGATAAAGGTATTTCATTTTTTTTGGCTTGAAATATCCCAATACATAAGGTAGGACAGAAAACAATATATAAAGCATTACTAATGTCTCAAGTCACAACAAAGCAAAATGCTAGATGCTGTAGAAAACGAGTTTAAAAACAGCTAAGTACTCCATAGTAAACAGTTATGGTTCCAACGATAGTGTGGCAATCCTTACTCATCAATACAATGGAAGCAGAAAAATGGAATTATTACCAGTGTTAACGAAATAAATATTTTTTTTTGCCAGTCAGTATGAAGAGCACATTTTTTAGGTCAAAGCATGACTAAAGTAGTTAACCAGTCACTCATGTTTTCACTTTCTCCTATGAGCAGGGACATACTTCAGATAGAGGGTCTCTTTCTGACATTAGTAATGCATTCTTCTTAGGTCTAATTAGTAAAATAGGTTATTCAGCATGTACATGTGAATCTGTGATGCCGAATAAGTAAACAGATTCACCAAACTCTGCATGGTTTGCCAAATATTCAATTAACATAATCCCAGCTTGCATTTAAAAGACGTAAAAATTGCAAAATATGCCCTGTACAAAACTTTTGTTGTTTGTTTTTGCAGGTTTGCTTATTTTGTGGTTCCAAAATATCAATGTGGCTTTGCTATTTTGTAGGTCTACAAATTGTGGCAGAATTCTTTAATATTTGTAGCTTCTATTGGTAGCTATGGCTAAAATAGAATGTGGCATATGTAGCTTCTATTGTTCAATTTTATTTGTAGGTGTACTTATGTTTGTTAGTTTTTATATGTATAGGAGGCTTTGAGTAAACTGTACGATGCTTGTCAAGATGGTAGCCAACAACAATCTGACCCTTCAAGTCAAGAGGAGAGCACTAAAACACCTAGTATCTCTTCAGCTAAGTTATCTTCAAGATACTTGGAAATTGTTGGGTGCAACAAGAAAAGAGTTCTTGGAACGGGCAGTTATTCAAAGGCTTTCCTTCATCGAGTTAATGCTTGCAATGCAGAATGCTCATCTTCATCAAGAGCTCGTCGGTTGCATGATTTTTGTGTTTTTTGGGATGCACGCATGGGGGAGTTCTTAATTTCAGAAGGTGATCAACTCCCCCCTGAAATGCCAATTGTGGATGACATTATTCAAGACAAGGAACCTGACTCACAGTCCAAGAGCTTTGAACAAACGTGGCTGCCATTTTTGAAATCAATGGGGATCGATGCACCAACTTTCTTTGCCACATCAGAATGCTCTAAAGAGTCCATGAACTCTCTTGTTGAATAATATCTCTCATTTGCCTTTCAAAAAAACTCTCTTGAATTCTTTAATGTGTTTTTTAATGTTACATTTCACTATGGATTGATGAATGGTGAATGTTTTTATTAGCAAGCTTTTGACCAATACATAAAATATTATGTGGTGAAAGTCTACTAGATGTTTTGTTATTTGCATTGAGAATTTAGATCTACAATTTTTGGCATATAAATCTTGCAGAATGATTTTGTTTATATTATTAAAACTATATATGTTATTAAAAAAGAATTTATACATTTAAAAAAACACTATTCAAAATTATGGGGGTGTACGTTATTTGGTAATGCTAAAATATGAATTTGAAATTAATTTTACATTTATATTTTTAAAGCATATTTCAAAAACAATTTTTTTTACATACATATCACTGACGGATTTTTGTGGCGGAATATCAGACACTAATTTTAATGGCAGAATTGCAGCCACAAACTTCCGCCGCTACTTTGCTTCCGCCCAATTTATCCGACACTAATCCATTTTGTGTCCAGATTTTGGTGTCGGAAATTCCGTCACGAATGTCCGACACTAATGACGTTAGTGACGGATTTAGTGTCGGATTTTCTGACACTAAATTCCGAAAATTCTTGTAGTGTCTATGTTTTCCTAAACAGAAAGGAGGACTAGGATTCTGCTCTTTGCGTGGATTTAATATATCTATGTTGGGAAAGCAAGCTTGGAGACTCATCAAGAAACCGAATTCACTAGTTGGACGGATTTTTAAAGAAAAATATTTTCCTAACGGTTCATTTTTGCATGCTAAAATAGGAAATAATCCGTCTTTTGTATGAAGCAACATACTTCACGAACAAGAGATAATGAACAATAGTTTGCACAAACCAGGAAAGTGGGAAACGGCCAAACAATTTCAGTATGGAAGGAGAGGTGATTGCCCGGGACGATGGATGGCTTGATTCACACACCACTGCCTAACGGAATCGCGGACATGGATGTGGCTGCACTACTAAATGAGAATGGAGAGAGTTGGAATGTGGCCAAAGTGTCATCGTTGTTTTTGGAGGAAGAAAAGAAAAATATTTTAGCTATCCCTTTAAGCAAAAGAAGAATTAAGGCTGGTATATGGTGGAATGCGGACCCAAGGGGCATTTATACGGTGAAGAGCGGGAATAGAACATTTAGAGGGGAATAACAGGTTGGGGAATGGGCTGGTTGGACAAAAATGTGGAATTTTAATATCCCCGAAAATTAAATGTTTCTTTTGGTAGGTGATGTCGGGTACTTTACCGAAAATTAAATGTTTCAAAAAACAAAATGTACTTTTATCATGTGCATTTAAAATAGAATAAAAATGCACTATTATATGGCATTTTTCAAAATGTTGCATTGATAAATTTTTGCCTAAAAAAGTGCACTTATACATAGGGGGTGTATTGTATATGCATTATGGTGGATATTTTTTCGTGGATTTCTAAAAAACTTCATGGACACTTAAAACGATAACTTTTGAATGGATGACTTCTATTAATTTCAATAAATCCATAAACTTTTATATGAAAGTAGCTAGGCATGGGTTTGATCTGACAGTCTCAACTAGGTCAGAACCAGACCCGACACTGTTTTCCTATTTCGGTCCCGGTTCCGATCTAGGACAGACCCCGTCTCAGTCTTCATTACTTGGTCTCGGGTACTATTTTTTAGGACCAGTACAAGACACTCTTGGTCCTGGTCCGGCCTCAACGGCTGAACGGGTTGAAAAAATTTGCCCAATCTACCTGGCCCGAGATTGGACCCCCCGATCTACTCGATCCAGTATAGGATCGCTATCGTCTAGGACCTTCCTTTTCTTTCGAAAGGACCGAGATATTAATACACAACACATTTACACTATTACACCCATTCGATCAACAACCATTCAGGGACTGAGATCCTCTGCCGCACAGCAGAGTGCCTTGCGCGCAGTTGGCCGTCGGGTGGGCGTCGGATGGGAGAAGAGTGTCCGGGAGCCGTCGGATGGGCGCAGAGGGCCAGGCTTCAGGATTTGTGCGTTGAAATCTCGACCATCCACGTTTTGATCGAACGGTTCTCGGGAGCCGGGCACCCTGCCTTGCTTTGAAGTATGGCAGAGGATTCGGATCCACCCTGACTTGTGTATCGGCAAAATACTTCGCACTTGTGTATCGGCAAAATACTCGTATTGAAAAACCTAACACCAAACCCATATATGAACATGATGGACATAAACCAGACGTGAAACCACTCCTGGCTTTCAATAACACCCTAACTTTTAAGTTTTAAGGAGGGGAATGAAAGACCAGAACTTCACCAGTATAGATTTATCATGATTCCTAAAATCGATTTACAAACGAAGAGAACCATTTTAAAGTAATGGGGAAAGAATCGTGTAGCAACTGATTTTTTAGGGGGTCATGAACATAGAAGAATAAACAGAAGAGAAGGGAAGAATGGAAAGATTTCTTCGCTGCTTTGGCTTCGGCTGAGTGAAGAAAAAAACTACTTCACAAGTTTGCTGAAATCTTACGGGAGAGGATGAGCAAATAATGGAGAATGATTACTCATACTAAAGCTTTGAAATCCAACAACACAAATGGTTTTCTAATTCCATGAGTTTTATAATTTTTTCAATACAACAAAACTTTTATTAACTTTTAAAAGTCTTTATTAAATACCTCTAAACTTTGGTGGATTTGTTACTGACTTTCTAAAATCCTAATTGAATACACCTAGATTTTTTGATACTTTTAAAAATCAATATTCAATTCCATGAACTTCTAAAATTTACCACCAATTCCATATACAATATACCCCCTTAATTATTTAATTTTTGCACATTTAAGAAATTATTAAAGCATTCAGAGACACATATATTAGTGCAAAGATTCTATATAAAATGCGCATTGTTGCAAGTGCACGTTAACATTTTTGTGTTCTTATTTGAAATCAAGTGCAGCCTTCATAATTTCAAAGTGCAAATTGATTTGAGTAAAAGTGCACCTTCGTAATTAACTAATTTAAAAATGATGTTGAATAATGTTTCAAATAAAAGTACATTCATTCAATGTTGGAGTCCAAATGGACAAATTTAGGGGATTCTATTGATGATTAGTAAAAATAATAATGCACAATTTTATTGTCTTAAAGCCAAACTAATTATGCGAAATCATGCCAATAACCCGTACTTTTAGT